TTCAAAAAGCATTTGGACAAGGCCCTCAGACACATGGTCTGAATCTTGTGACTGTCCTATGCTAGGGCAAGAGTTAGACTTGATGATTCTTGTGGGTCCCTTTAAGAAACATCTTGTTCTACCTAAAAAGCTGTTGCTATCAACATTCAAATTAATATACCATTGTCAGAGTAGAAGTGATTTTCATTAATAGCACCATAACATCTGATTCTGGTCATGCTTGAGAAGGAGATCAACAACATATCACCGAAAAACAGGAAAAAGAAGTGCTCTGTTTCTGACCAGGGTGTGCATATTTGCCAGTACTGCTCAGATCAGTGCAAAACCAAAAACTGATCACAAAGCAAACTTCTCATTGGGTTTTTTTTAATGTTACAGTCAAGAAGGGCACCCAAATGAGAACCTGTGACCATTCTTCTGTTCAAGGGTTCAGATGTTATACTGGGCAGTGATATTTGAAGAGTCATTCTCTTGTCCAGCACTTATTATCTATAAGATTTCAGTTGGACTCTGTTGCCTATAGGAGAGACTGCGTTACCGTATAAGATACTTCTGTGCAGGTTTGTAGGTTACTCATACAAGTTATCTATGAAATGCATGCATACAGATCATGCCCCCTTTTTAATTTTTTTTTTTTTAAAAGGAGCAGAGAAAAGGTATTTGGTGAGAGTTTCCACATTGTGTGAATTCAGTTAATTTTTCCTTATAGCACCTCATAATTTTTCTGAGCAGAGATCATTAATCATTCCAAATTGTGTTCAAGTTTGTGTGATAGCTGTAAGACCACCAAACTCTGACCCTGGAGGAAATGAATTCCTAAAGGTGAAAAGCAAGGGGTTTTTTAATTAAGCCACCTAAGCTGCCTGGTTTTGCAAATATTTATTAACTCAATTCAGATGAAGTCAGATTAACACTTCTAGATGCAAAGAATGTTGTTTCATTGGACCATGAGTCCTTGTTTTCAAATTGATATTTGATCTTTTAGCACAACAGCAAATTATTTTCCCCGTCTGTCTTCTGTGACAAATCTAATGAATGTGATATCTGGAGGGTGGTGTACAAACAGTTTTTAAGTACTTAATTTGTAAAAGTATAGGTAGTAGTTATTTATAATAGGCTGTTGGGGTTTGGTTTTGTACACTTTCTGAAGTTAATTTTTAATATTCTTTTAAGTTTGCTGCATGTAACTGAAACATAAGTGAACATGTAGATAAGAAAACATTCTTGATATAGTAAATTTGTAGGGTATGTGAGCTTGGTATCACAAAGGCTTTCTTAGCCGATGTCTTTCTACTCTAGGACTAACAAGTGTTTTAGTGTGAGTTGAAGGACAAAAGGTACTTTGAAACTTGGCCTGGCTGGAGACTGAACCAGCCTAGAGTATGACTTCATAAAATCATAGAATGGTTTGGATTGAAAGGACCTTAAAGCTCATCTGGTCCCACCGCCCCTGCCATCAGCAGGGACACCTTCCACTAGACCAGGTTGCTCAAAGCCTCATCCAACCTGGCCTTGAACGCTTCCAGGGAGGGGGCATCCACAACTTCCTTGAGAAACCTGTTCCAGTGTCTGACCACCCTCATAGGAAAGAATTTCTTCCTAATGTCTAATATAAACGTGCCCTCTCCCAGTTTAAAGCCATTTCCCGTTGTTCTATCACTACCTGCCTTTGTAAAAAGTCCCTCCACAGCTTTTTTGTAGGACTTAGAGCAGACTGTGCCAGATGCGGTACTTTGAGTGGATGTGGGCACTTGCCAGGGTGCTGGTATGTGTTGTAAACACCTTCTGCCCCAAGATTAACCAGCACTGTTCTTTCTGGTTTAAGGATAGGTGAGAATGAGTAAAGCATGTCCCAGATAGCCTGTTAACAAGATGGAAGTTCAAAGACTTTTGCTAATGTATCAGGATTTGGCCTATACCACAATCTCTCATGAACAGGGAATGATTTTCTCAGTCCTGAAAGGAAGAGTAAGTGGCCTGAAGATTGCATGCCAAGTGCTTTGCTGAGTCAGAATTTGAATATGAGAAATAAACCCGAGAATCTCATTATCTGAATCGGATTCTCTTTGACCTCCTGGCAAAGAAAGTAATGCTTACTGCAACCTGCCATGAAAAGTAGGAATTTATTTCAGTTTCATTTCTCACCTTTGGTGTTGATTAATGCATTAGTTAGGACATGAGAAAGATGGAGAAATGGAAGCTGTGAACCAAATCCATCAAAAAATTACGTGTTCATCAGAGAGCAATGATCATTTCCTATTCTGTTCTTTTTTGTGTTGATGGAAATGGGACTTGTGGCAACAAAGTGAGGACTAGTAATAATGTTTATTGCTTACAGAGAGGCTGGCATAACTAATGGAAAGGCAACAGATTCATCAGTTTTAGGGCTTAGGGAAAGTGATGAGAGGATATTTGTGAACTGCAATTCTAACTGCTGCATATTTTAAAAGCAATTGCAAAGTAATTATTTTTGGTGAAGTATGTTACAGATCCCCTATATTCTACACAGGAAAGGTTGGGTTGCATTTCCTGCATTGTAATTTTACTTTTATTGAAATGTTGGACTTCAGGAAAGAACAATCACATATTTTGAGTTTTGACACTGATTTCGGTATACCTCATACCCCTTCTAAAGTATACACAATCATATGTTCTTGTCCCTGTAAGTTGTAAAAAGGTTTTAACAAAAATTCTTTTATGTCCATGTACGTTGCCTCTGTAGTAAACCTTGGACCTTCATGATTTGAAAGCTATCATAAATGTTCTGCAAGAGTGTTTAAATGTGCTTTTTAACTCAGTGTGAAATAGAATTGCACTGGAATGCCTAGAGTTACTTGATGGAAATCACTTCTATTCTCTTTAGGTTTTTGTATTGCTCCTGTGAGACTGGTTTGGAACACCTCAGACTTATTTTTGTTTTAACTAAAATGTAAATGAACAGTAATATCAGACAAAATGATTGCAGTATGAATTCCAGCCTGTGTAAAACCATCATAGCCAGGATGTACGATGTCTCTCTAGTAGAGATGACCCATGAGGCTATCACAAAAGCTGGTCTAGTGAGACAGATCTCCTTGTGGTTCCTTCTCTGATAATGCAGACAAATAGGCTCTTGTTTTGAATTGTTATTATCTAGAATAGTCTGTCTTTATCTGGAAAAATTATTCTCCCCAGGTAAATGTTACCCTTTGAAAAAAGTCTCCCTCCTCATACTCCCTGTTCTCAGTATCAAAATTTTTCTGAAATGGTACTTTATTCTTGTTTTTTGAAATGCCTGATTTTAATAACTCTAAAATATTTGTTAAAGACAAGTCATTACCCTTAAACAGATTTCTGCTTCTATCAGGACAAACAAGTTGCTCATTAAGGAGTACCTGTTTAGTGAAATAAACACTGCTTGGGATTCACAGAATAGTAGTAAGTTGTTCTTCTGTTATCAAAGTTGTTTCTTTGATCAGAATGAAAAGCAGTGACACTTGTTTAGTGCTATAAAGTAGATGCTTTTATATGTCAAGTTTTGAAAAAAAGGAGTTTCACCTTCAGACATACATTACTGTAATCATACAAAAGTTGAAATGACAACCATCATTATATTTACAAGTTCCTTTTGGTCTTTTTAATGACCATGTTACAACCCATAAAATTCTGATCTTTGAAGACAGCATCACTTTATAGCTATAGTTTAAAAAAATAAAAAAAAAAGCTTATCTGGAATCATGCATATCTGCCTTTGTTCAGCTTTATTACATGCTTGATTTCTGGTAAATCCTATTTTTTCTTTTTTCTTTCCTAATCTAGAAATTGCCAGCTATGAAAATCTTGTTAATTTCTGTTTGTAAAATGTTCTGCTGTAACTTGGATTAAATGCAGTGCAGCTGGGAGTAGTCATGGCCAAACAATACATGGCATAAATTACCTCTATGTGGAGTGTCTGACTAGATAGCATAATCAACAGGAGACTGACAAAACAACACAGTTGCACTATTGTTGCTGACAACTTCATTATTTCTATGATGTTCAGCTGGATAATCTGTTTCTGAGGGACAACATTGTCTTCAGACATGTCTAAGGTACTTTTATAAGCTTTCTCAAGATGAATGTGTTTGCACAAGTTTAGGTTTTTTTCCTAAATCTAATAGAACAATTACATCCTAAACCTAAATTATAATAATTGCAGGAACCATTAGCAAAGAGCATTTTGCTCTCCATCGTTTTTGCAATAGGGCAACATTTCTGTCAAGTAGCGTTGGTGAGCACCTCCGATGTGTATGTGGATTGCTTAGGGCAACAGCAGCTGCTCTTTGATTCCTTGTCTGAAACAGTAGTGGCTTTAAGGATCTCATGAACTTTTCATACTAAGATATTTCTGTTTACTTACACTTCAAATGATCCCAAATGACTAAGAAGTGTTTTGTAGCTCAAACACTCCAGGCCTGATTCTGTTCCACTGTAGCCAGGGATGATTATTCTTAGGAATTTTCCAATTAAAAAGGCTAGGAGAAAAAAATGCCACTTTGTCAAAAACAAACTGTTCAAAAAATATGCCATCTTTAAAGAATTCTGACCAGACAATTCTGACTTCCTGCTAGTTCATCTAAAACTGTACTCTGAAATATAGGGTCCACAGTTCCAGGGCACTGCTGCTATACAGGCTGCCACAAGGCTGGAGAACTCCTGGTCTTCATGTCCCTTCCTGTGGAAGTGGGAGCCTGCAAGCCCCAGGTGCTGGTGTATCTGCAGCTCCAGCTCTGCAGCAGAGCCCGGGTGTGTTGAAATCCAGGTTGTGCCAAGAGGACTGTAGATTAGGAACCATGGCTAAGGCAGGAAGCCTGGAGGAGCTGTGGCTGCCAAGCTCAGTTTCTTTTAGTCACTTCCATCACAGGTGTCTCAAATATTTCAAAACACTTGAGAAAATTATTTCACTGGGAAATTTTCTAAACTTCATCCAAACACAATTCTTTTTTCTTCACTCATAATTTCAGAATTTCTTGAATTTGATCATGTCTGTGACTGATGAACTGGGAAATATTTGTCTTTTTTATGAATATACTGAATACTTCTGTGTCTCTGTGGATAATAGGTTATTTGCTATGGATTTGGATCAAGAACACTGGCTAAAGGAGCTAGTGAAACAGTAAGACCCAGATAAGTGTCTTTCAGGAAACACAAGAAATCAGGGAATAGGACAGAGAATTAACAAATTGGCAAAAGAGTAAGTGTGAAAGGTGATAGGTAAACAATGAGCCAGAGAAGCAGAAATTGCCAAAACCAGAGTTGGAATTTACTACAGTAGCTTGTATGTATAAAAGTTTGCAAGAAAGAATAAGTGTGGGCACACAGAAAGATATGTTTTTATAGGCTTGCTTGGTTTTGCTTGTGGCTTTTTTTTTTTACTTTTCTCACTGTATACCTTTGGCTGTATTTAAAAAACACCCCAATATCATGTTTCAAGGAGTAGAGTCACTTTAACCACCTTTCTAGTCATAGATTTCCAAATAAGAGAGCATACAGATGCCAGACAGACTTGGCCTGCCTGTTGCTACTTCAGGAGGGAGGCTGGACATCCCGTTCCCAGGTATCTGATCTGCCTGGCTACATTGCCCGACCCTGAGCGCAACAGTGTACGGGATATCAGATCTGATGTCTGAGCAGTATTTGTTCTTTTAGGGGAATTATGGACAGTCTAAAATACAGCTTTGTCTCTAATGATGATGACAGATTTGCCATTGACTGATTATGAAGTAAAGTCAGGCTCTGTTTGAAGATTTAAAATTCCAAATGTTTGAGTGAGTTTCTTTGCTCCAAACTTCCCACCCAGTTTCCAGACTAATCGTTTTCCAAGTGTTTTTCACAAACACAATGTATGCCTAGCACCGAAAAACAAGGTGATATAAAACATAGGAACATTAGTTTCTGTGTATGGAGGACGCACTTGCTACTGAAATACCATTTGCAATTAAGCGTTGGACATTGCATACTTGGGACAATGTAGTACCTGTGTGTTGCTCCTGCTCCATGGATCACATCAGGCTTTTGAAGACCTGGGTGAGTACTGCCACCTATTGATTGACGAACTGAAAAAGAATGTCTCCAGCTGCCCTGAGATTTTATATAGAACAGCTTTGTGAGCTTCTCCTCTGCATAAGAACAGCCCCCCTCATCCCAGAAATATTACCAGTGTCCAGAAGAAACAAACAGCATTTGCTAAATGGAGTTAATGGCCAACGCAATGTACTGCTTGGCTGCTAAAAATCTGTGGTGTATAAAGCTGAGAACAATATAGCATAAAAAATTTGGTAAATGTGTAAGTTAATCAGCCAACTTGAGTGGCCTCTTTAAACAAAATGTACCACTAAACATACATCTTCATTAAAATGTCCAGCTTTAGCAATAATAATAATAATAGCAGCTTGTGGAATCAGCTCACAAAGTGTGCTGCAGATAGGAAAACTTTTAGAGTGATCAAACATGAAATGAAAATCTCTCTCAACAGGATAAGGAAATAGTATAAGTACAGCAAACAAATTATTTTGTTCATCTAATAACTATGAAATATAGGTAAATGAAATAATAAATGGCTGACATCTTTGAGCTACCTAATGGAATCATCGAAGCCTAAGGACATGCAAGTTTCTGTACAAGATCACACTAACAGATTTGCTTGCGTGTGCTTTATCATAAAGGTTTTTGTGTTCTGTGGGTTTTTAGTCTTCTAAAGACTAGAAGACATCCAGAACTAGGTGCTTACCACACTTATTTACACACACTTATTAATTATTTTTAGTAATTAATTTCATGCTTTTTTAATGTGGTAAATTTATGATTACTTACCTTACTGAGTGTTGTTTTGTTTTCTGGCTTTTGAACAGTTTAGTAATGAACTTAAATTCATATGACAGAAAGGTTAGGAATATGTTTACTTGATTTACAAACTAATTATCTTTCATAGAACTAGCTTGGGCAATAAAACATCTTGGCTTTTACTTTTCTACTAAATAATGTTTGGGTAGCAATGGAGAAGTAGTAAGCATTATGAAATTGAAATGGCAGTTGTTGAAGGTCTACTTTTCACCAAGTGGAAAGGAGAAAGCAAAGGAGAGAATGGAGAGTACTGATCCACGATGAGAAATTGCTAGAAAATGTTGTAGAATAGACTAGTTTCAGTAAACTCACTTTAGCATTTTCCTCTGAAAACAGCTGGAAATGGAGAATTCCTGCTCATAATCAAGTTCCATAGATGGGGTTTATACAGATCAAAAAAACTTAAATCAGGGATTTTGACTTAGAAGACTGATCATTATTCCGCACAGCACTGAAAATGGAATTTTTATTCTTACATTTAAAATAAACTAATGTAGACATTTCAGATTTTCAGTATGCTTTTTTTTTTTTTCCTAGATAGTATCCCAGTGTTAAAGGTATTTAGTGGTTTTCAAAAGATTTCCAGTCTTCCTCCTGTTGACACAGAGCAGTGACCTCAGTCAGCTGTCCTGCAGTCTTTTGACTAATGATCCTCAGAAGCAGCAGAACAAAAGAGGGAATCCTATACACGAGGCCCGTGATTTTCACAGTATAGGAGAAGCAATGTTGTGCATAACATATTGTCATCGAACTTTGTAATTTTCTGCTTCAGCCAATCATGCAGGTAGTTGCATTTGAAATTCTTGTTCTGTCTTTGTAATATGTACATATGTGTGTTTACGGACATACACATACATATATGCATATAGAAAATATCTCAAAAATGGTTGGTCCATGTCCAGATTGATTTTGAAAGTATAGAATAAGTTCAGGTCCCATGACATACAAATGTCAGGCCCATGACTAGATTTTAGCTTCAGTTACTTTGGCAAAAGGATGCTATTTGGTTTGCAGTCCAGTCCCCTTAACTGAGTTTTGAAGGATGGCATAATCAGATGGGTGACCAGCTTTTGAGAGGTTTCCAACATTTTCTAAAAATCAAGCATCATGTCTGAACAAAGCCAGTGAAATCTTTTCAGCAGATTGTAAGAGCAGCTCTAGTATCCCTTTAAAAACAATTTAAAATACATTTTCTATAGGTATTAATTATATTATATTAATCATCACTGACTGGAACAGACCAAGGAATTAGTGTGTCTTAATTTTTTTCTGTTGCCAGATGGTACACAGGAATGTTCTGGTTACATGAATTTAATCCAGTGGACTGTCCAGGAAGGGTAACAGTTTTCTAGATTGTTGTTTATCTTTATCACCTACCTATTTTTAGAATTCTAGGGCTGTTACATTTATTCCATGTTCTGACTCTGTAACATCTTTGTGGGTTTCTGTGGGATCCAGCATTTGCAGTTTTTTGTCCTATAGTAAAATAAATTTTTTATTTTGGAATATCACTCTTCCACTATTTTGCCAGCTCTTAATGCAGACGTTACAGGATTTGTTTTAGCTGAAACATAGACATCAATAAAATATTTTTTTTCTTATTCATTTAATAATCTTTTTTTAAGCATTACCTGTTCAAGCTGGGAGCTTTCAAATGATCTTGCAGATGTCCCATAGCTATGGATCTGGTTGCTGCTTTTGTTGCTATGATTGCAGACAGCTGTAGTGATAGCTTTCTCGAAGAAAGAAGAAACAATACATCACATGCAACATGCATTACTGGACCGAATGTAGGACTGTGATTCTTTTTTTCCCCTTTTTATTAGTTTAACATAAAACTAACTGCTTTAAGATGGCTGCATTAATGTCTTTTTACTCACATTTCATGGCAAATTAATTACAATCGCAGCTTTGTTTACCCTGAAAGTAATTATTTTTCTACTTGCATGTTGTGCTGCTGATCAGTTTTAAGGGATACAACAAGCTAAAAGCACAGAGAAGTCATGGCATCTTTGTCTATGGAGGCAAGAGCTTTCTATATTAGCCATTCCTATAGCTGCATAGGTAACTAGGATAGAGTTAAGACACCAAACATTTTACCTGTGATACAGCACTATTTGCTTTAAATACTGTTTTGCTCTGACATCTTGTCCGTGATCTTGGGCTTCAATAATTGCTAGTAATAAGCTTTTTGGTATCTGATCATTCATGCAGTGTAAGGAAGAGATTTACTCATTCTGCCCAGAGGCTGAACCAGCAGAGACAGCAAAGCCAGTGTGATTCATTGAATGAAGACAGTGGACAATTACCAGCAATTTCTTCACGTTTTGCCTTGGATAACCTAAGCTGGTAAGTCTAATTTAACTCTTTAATGCATATATTTTTAATTATTATTTTGAAGTACAAAATTGCTTCATAAACATATTTAAGAGCACATAGTGTTGAGTGGTTTCTTGACTGTTGTGTTTTCCTAAAATCTGAAGTTAATGCTTTTACAGCTATGCTGTGTCCTGCCAGTCCACTCGTCTATATAGTGCAGCGTATATGTGCCACATACAACAGATAGTGAACAGTAATTTACATTTTTTTCTCTCTCTGCAATATGTTTTTAAAAGGACATGAATATTATATCAGTATCTGCCAATCAAAAAAAAAAGAAAGGTTCAATAAGGATAACTAATTTATATTAATGTGTATCTGAATTTGACTTCTAAAGCACCCTGCTGTTGGGGAATAAGACGGTTACTTCAGTGTTTAGAAGCATAGATAGAAACTGAATCACAAAGATTGATATACAGTATGTGCAGCATGAAATATGTGTTGGAAGACTTTGATCACTGGTTTGGTATATGCTGTAGCAGGATGACAGTCACACAAATGAGACTGTTTTGGTGATTATTTCCAGGGTAGTGCAGTAACTGTTTCCCCAGAGGTTATTTGTTATTGAAACCATTGCTGTAAGACTTTCATTTTGTGGTTGTTTTTTTTTTTTTTTAAATAAATTTGGAAATGGAAACTACTGTTAATTATGACTAGTTATAAGGGGAGTTGCTGTTGTTATTTTGCATAGTGCTGCCTTTTACTGAGAAACCCTGTAACATGCTGCTTACTGTAGTTTTGACGTGCTGTGAGGATGCTAGGTAGTCAGATCACACAGGGTACTCTGAACTGTATTACGATGTCCTTATAATTTCATTCTGACCTGTGCTAGGTATAGGCAGAGGCTTCCATAGGCAAAAGTCTCAAATGGGTCAGTTCTGGACATTGCCTGTTTCTAAACAGTTAGTCTTTGATATACTGTAATAATTTCAGTTGTGACAATGATATACCCTCAGGTTAAGTGCATTTCAGTTGCAGGATTTGTTATTTCAATTAAGACAATCCATATTCTGGGGTTTCACCTGATCGGTGAGGTGAGGACATAGTTGTAAAAAACCAAAACTGAAGGAGCCTAAAACTGCGCTTACAAAATAGTTTGTTGGTAAAAATAAAATGCCAACATCCAATAAAAACACAGTAAGTTTTCAATCACAGAATCCTGTGATTTGAGCTGTCTGCTTTCCTTATTTTCTATTATACTTTTTACCCATGATTTTGCTCAATCCCATTTCCATTGCTCTCCTGGGAGTTATTTCTACAGCCTAAGATGATCACACTTCCAGAAAGTTTTCCAGAATATGCAGCCTCCTTTTACCTCTCTCTTTTTTTTTTTTTTTTTTTTTTTTTTGCATTTAACACCTTGTATGTGACTAGAAAACATGTGAAGTACAATAATTTTCAGTTGCATTTTGCATCGTACTGTTTCAGTATACTGGTAAAAAATGCAGTTCATTTGCATTATATTATTCCAGCCATTGCTTTATTGTTTCATGTTTATTCCATGCACTGTTTCGCAATATTGATGGTTAGCATACAGGAAACATTCATATATTTCAAGTCACTTGTGATGCACTGATTCTGTGTGGACAGCAAAGATGCCATCTGTTTTATTGTTGAATAACTGTAATTTTTATGGTGTTTACTTAGCTTCTCTACAAACTCACTTGTTCTTAACTTAAACTTTCATGAGATTATAAAAGATTCTGTCCTCTTCTTACATTAGTTATTCTTGAGGATCTGCTTTGGCTGTGTACTGAAAAAGCTTCCATGTGTAATATGGACAACCTATTGTTACTGTCCTCAGAAGTTTAGACAGTAATGTGCTGTTTTCTTCTGAATGCATAAATCCTGTTTCATTGGTCAGATCAAGGTGGGAAGGATTCCAGCAACCCCTAGGAATTGTAATTGCTGGAGTCAAACTATGTTTAGATGCTGTCAATGTGCACAGTAACCCATGCCATGCAGAACAGGCCTGAGTAGACTTGGTAATAAACTCCTGCTAGGCTTTTCTGGGTTGGAGATAAAGGCTAGCAGCACAATGATACTCAAATTTGCTTTCATCTTGAGACTACATCAGCATCCTGTAGTGCTGTAATGTATTTGGAGAACCTAGTTTCTTTTTACAGTGTACATATTGAAACAGAGAGAACTGATCCGTAAACTGTCTCAGTTTTTAATGTATATTGGGAGATGTGTGACTAGAACACCTCTACCAAACCCTCATATTTCCTGGAAAACTGTTAAAAAACTGAGAGATGCTTCTCCTTTACTTGCTCAGGTTAATAGTGCGTCATAAAAGAAAATGTTGCTGTCAAACTGTTCTCTGTAAAAAAGTTGGGATTCTGAAAATAACTTCTCCACTTCTCAAGAAAAGCTTAATTTGATGACTTTAAAAACATAATGTGAAAGACACCTGGGCAACTGAGTTTAAGGAGATAGATACAAATACACTTCCTGCATTAGTGAATGCTGGAGAAGTGGTTGGCTTTTAGGAGTCAGGCTGGCAAAATTCCTTTATTAGTAATTTTTTTAATCCTCAGAGGTATTGTCACAATACTAATTATATGAACTTGAAGCACGGCAACATCTATAGGCATGACTTTAAATATAAATAAATGCCTCTTCACACCAACACCAATAATCTTCAGCCAATATCAACTCTTCTTCGACGGCTGTCCGCTCCACAGATAACTTAAGGACTTGAAGTCAATGAAGGAAGGTCAGTCTAGGAAGATAAAGGGGGGACTTTATCAGCTTAGGGAGGACTGAGAAAGGCATCAGCCATGTTAGCTTTAATAACACCAGTTTTAATAATACTATGATAGATAAAAGAAGTCCTACTGAGTAGATATACCTAATTTAATTAATGTAAACTTACTAAATGTCTACACAGCTTCTCAGTAAGTTTACATATTGGTATACAGGCTTAGTGAAGCTTGGAATCTCTCCACAATGCAGTATTGTGCCTCTCAGAGGTGCTGAGCCTGTTGCTTTTCATATTAAAAAAATATAATCCCCAAGCAAGCACAGTGGAGCATGCTGAGCCACCTTTGAATTAAGTATTGGATGGGTCTACTCTTCTTTTTTTGTACTGGTATTGATGATGTTTAGGTTTGTGTGGTAAATGGAAATTGTTTTCTCTCTCTCCTGAGTTTACCACTGATTTTGTGGTACTTGGTGTTCAATGACAGTACTCTTGGAAGCAAATAATTTTGGGAAATTGAAACTTCCTTTACAAACATGCCTATAACATTTATTGGCCTATTTTTAGCTACAATTTGGGACTGATTTTTGACCCATACTTTATTGATGAAAGTAAGAAATTCCTGAAAGCAGAGGTAAGAAGAGAAATTTGTGTAGGATAATGTGTAGCTGTATATACTAATAAAAACTGTGGAAGTGTTACTCTAAGTAACTGAGAATTAATTGATTATTATTAGTAGTATATTATTATTATATTTAGTAAATTGATGAATTTCTTTAAAATACTAGTCATGTGGAAGACGGGTAATGGGCTTTTTCTTAAGCTTACTTTTAATAAATATCTGAAAACAAACAGAACTATTGAAGCTATGCTAAACAGAGACAGATGTGAATGAAATCTTTTGACCATCTTAAAAAGAATTTTATTTCATGTTTATACTCCCAAATGGTTCCGTGAATGCATCTCTAAAACAAAAACCTGTCTTCTAAGATGGTCCAATATTGAAACTCAACACTTAGCAGCAACTTCAATAAAGTAAAGCCTAATCCACACTGATTCCAGCACACGGTTCCAAATAATTCTGGCGTGTCTGGAATATTTGTGAGTTGGCATCGGTGATCATAATTTTAGTGTAATGCTACAGTTTGACATTAATGAACTACTTCTCATGTTAGAGACTTTGATTAAATGTATTTTGCTATGTTCCTTGGTTTCCACTCAGCCTTTCTACCTAGTCAATGCAAGCTTGCTGTTTGGGGCAGAGAATAAAATGCTTCACTTGAAGAGACAGTGATTTCGGTTAGTTCTTGTGGGCACTGCTGAAAATATATGTAATAGTTAAAAGGCAGGATGAACTGCTTGTGTGCGCCTTTTGTCTATAAGCTCAGTGAAAAGCAGTCCAAAATCATTGTAGTGTTGTCACTCCCTGAGTCCCAGAGAGCTCATTTCTTATCATATCTACTCTTGCACATCAGTTTCAGAGATGCAGGTCACACAATTCCCTTCTTCTGATTGCACGCGCTGTTGTTTTAATTTAACAAAGTCTTCTCATCACATATGACAATTATGTTGAATCTGACTTTCTTCATTCGGAGACTTGATCTCTCTTCAATACCCCATGAGCTTGGAGAATATGTGAGATTACTTGTAATCAGATACTTTTGTGCTCAGGATGTCTGCTTCACCACAATTCACAAATGAGAAAAGAAGACATAGACAGCTTATGAGACCAGGGTAGTGTCTTTAATCTTGGAGACCAATTCCTGCCAACAAGCAGCCTCAACAGCAGGGCAAGTGTTTAGTAAAGAATGCTTTTATGATTGTAAATAGTTATTATAGTCTGGTCCAGCAGCCTGATTTGCTTAGATGCAGACTGAGACAACAAGAACAGAAAGTTACAGGATTTGTATCATAGCACAAAGAATCTAAAGCTTATTTCCAGGAAAAGATTGTCTGAAAGGGTAGCCAGATTTACTATTACAACTGTGACGACTTCTAGAGAGACATTCGGTCTTATAAATGTGTACACACTCCTGGCAGAGAAAAAGGAAATGTGAAGAATTGTGCATTTTGTCACCTTTTCACTTTCAGAGATCCCTAGGGGTAGCTCCCTGTGCTTGGAATTGGGTCAAATCTGATTCTTGGTTTCCCTTCAGAAAGGCAAAACTATTTCCACATAAAGTATTTACAGAGAGTTAAATATGTATTCAGTTTTTCCTAATACAGAAAAATGACTGTAATCATAGAGCATTGGAAGTGTTGTTTAATTATGAGATAATATGGAAATCCTATTAGGCTAGGCAGTCACAGAGAGAGGAGGCAGTCCCTCTTGGAAGAGTTTGTAATCTAAAGGGACAGAGCAGGATAAAGTGATACAATATATAGACAAAATGAGTGCCTGTCCACTAACTGAGGAAGAAACTACTCAGCATGAAACTGTAAACAGCAAAAGTCAGAATCACAGATTATTTTATCTGTAAAACATGGAGTGTAAGGTCTTTGTTTGCAATAACCTGGACACGAGTTGGCCATAGGTAGTTTAAACTAAAAATGCATATATGCCTCACTGCCTACAATAAAGCCTAAATAGGTGTGGTAGGCTGACCCTGCATGCCAGATGTCCACCAAAGCCCACTCTATCACTCCCCCTCCTCAACTGGATAGGGTAGAGAAAAATATAATGAAGGACTTGTGGGTCAAGATAAGGAGAGAGATAATTCACCAACTACTGGTACAGGAAAAACAGACTTGACTTGGTGGGAAAAACAAATCTAACTTATTACCAATCAGAAAAGAGAACAATGCTGAATAAAACCAAATCTTAAAACACCTCTTCCCCTCCCTTCTTCCCAGGCCTCACTTTTCTCCCATT